GAGAACTTGCACAATTGGTGGCTGACTAAATACTTTTTTGCCCCACTGTATCTATATCTATCTATCTATCTATCTATCTATCTATCTATCTATCTATCTATCTATCTTCCAATTTCCAGTCATTTTCAACTTTTCAGTCTTCATTTATCTTTCACTATTACTGTAAGTATTTATATAACTTTTTGTATGTTTAAATTTACAGTATTTTAAATCATTCTTTCAGGAAGTCAGGAAGGAGAATGAGCTGGATGGGAACCAAAAGAAGTATCTATGGCTCTGATGTAGAGGAAGTGATTCTGTTTAAAATATTCTACAGTGGAGTTAGCTGTACCATTCATAAAGGAGAAATTCCCTTGTCTGAAATGGAGACCAATAGTGGGAGGCAGAAATTCACTTCCCTCCAAGAACCCAGAACTTGGAGATTTACACTACGATTTGCAATCTAGTGGATGTACTTCCTTCTCCACAGTAGCTTCTCTTCCTTCTCCACGGTAGCTTGGCTGTGGGTCTGCTTCTAATTTGAGGAGGGGGGTAGAGATGGGGAAGAAGTCTGAGGAGGGATCTTCTATTTTCTCATTATGAGTGATGTTTATTTCAGATATTCTGATTGTCTGCACAATTTTCTGCAGAGTGAACAACAGAAATCCATCCTTATGAAGCAGCAAATGTATGCAAATCCCTCAGCCTCAAAAAAACAGCAGCAGTTCAGCTGCCCTAGCAGGAGGCATCCTAATTCCCTATAACATCCTCCTATTTACCCAAAACCTCTTCTGGGTTTCTGTTTGATTTTCTCAGTAACAGGAATGAATTTGTGTTTTCTAAAATCTGATGGGTCTTTGAATCTTCTGCTATCCAACTGCTATCCCATGCTGTTATTTATGAATCCATGGAAACAGCATTTAACAATGTTAAATGTTTCCGTATTCTTTTTTGTTATGTTTGTGAATGTTACTGTTACAATGGCCTGGGATTTACTGGGGAGGCGGGGGCTAATATGCAAAAATTAAGCACCTCATTTAATATCTCAAAATGATCTCAACTGGCCTATTAAAAGTCCCACACATTTAGAAGTATTTACAGTATGTTGGCAAATGGGGGTGAAAATGGCAGCGTGTCTCACACAAGGCTCAGTGCAAATATTTCTAATCATGGAGTGTTAAGGAGTAGCAGATGATGAACTCTGTAGTTTCAAATGGACTGCTACATTTATATCTTTCTTTTTACATAAATAAAGCATTTTTCAGTGAAATCTCATTACTGATAGCAATGATAGCAAAAATTATCCCCAAAACCTGTCTTAATTTTTCAAGATAGGATCAATTATACCAGAGCCTATCACTAGGGCCAGAATATCTATCCAGACTTTATTTTAAAGGGGAAGTGTCTACTTCCCATAAATGGCAACGCTTATTGGAAGCATTTTCAAAGCAAGTATAGTTACTTAGCCAGAGTCAGAGCCAAGACAGTAATGCACTCTCTGCCCTTTCCAGTGGTTTGTAAATAATACTTTTGGGAAGAGGCTTGGGCAGGGTAAGGGGTAAATTATACCAGGGCTAAGCCATAGTATAATTTAAACCACAAATGAATGTAGTCACAGCTACTAGCTACTTCTGTGAAAAGACTATGGATGACTCCGCCACAGTTTGTCTAGCATGTTATTCAAAGCAGGGACTCCAGATATTCCTGGACAATTCATAGGCTCTTGTTTCCACAAAGACAAAGAGCAAAGCCATCTGTAGAAGCAGTTCATTTTAGAGAAGAATTTTTTGGCATAAACCTGGTAATTCACTGATAAGCTATAGCATGGGATAGTATAATATGCAAATACATAACTATTCCCTGAAGAGCTACAGCAAGATTGAGACATTACTAGAAACTATAGGCTGTTCTTCAGTAGCCTAAGACAAACTTGATAACAAGCCATAAAAAAAAAAGGCAAGCAATGATTAATTTGGCTAGGTCAGTTTGGTGAAGTTGCTGAAGCAAATGGAGCGCTGGTACACACAGTGGCTAAAGAATCTGAGAAAAGCAGAAGCAAATTCTCAACTAAACCCATTTTCCCTCCCTGTTAGAGGTGCCCTGCTGCTTACTGGGCTTGGAAGAGGAAGACTCTCCAGTCGGCTGTCCTGAGGTAGAAAACGCTGGGTCTCTTGTTGTAATCTGATGCTTGGGTGGCCAGCGAATGATGGATGCTGATGGCATTTTTCAGGTCTTCCTCAGCCGGGGCCTGGCCAGGTTTATATTCCTCCTGAAATGCAGGTAGAAGATAGGTGTCTGTTACGTCTCTTTCCTTATTGGTCCTACTGCTGCTTTCTGTTATTTTCCATGATCTCCAGCAAACCCTCCCACTGGCAAAGTGTCAGCAATTCTCCACTCTGAAACTTCAGAATTTAAAGAAAAAATCATACAAACCAAGCATATCATTCTAACATGCTGCATATATCAATCATATATATATCCTGTCATTTCAAAGATGTGCATGCTTTTGTTTGTTTGATATTTATCTTTTAAAATGAGATATGTGTCTTTACAAAATTCTAAAAAATTGAAGGAATGTAAGGTCATCTTCAGGCATGAAGTATAGCTCACTGTATGGACTCTATTTTTATCCTTATCTTCCCTGCCATGGTATTGACTTAGGCCAGTGTTCTGCAGTACAGGTAGTCCTTGCTTACCAACCACTTGTTCAGCAACCATTTGAAGTTACAACAGTGTTGAACAAGGAGACTTACAACCGGTCCTTCAGGTTGCAGCCATCACAGCATCTCCATTGTCACGTGATCATGATTTGGCAATGGCACACATTTATGACAGTTGCAGCATCCCATGGTCACATGATCACCATTTGCAACCTTCACAGCTGGCTTCCAACAAGCAACGTCAATGGAGAAGGTGGCAGGAAATTGCAAGTCGCAATCACGTGACATTGTGGTTAACCACCTGTGGTAATTCGCTTAAGGACCACAGCCAGAACTGACATCATAAGTCAGTTCTGCTTTATGATCATGTCACTTAGCAACAGAGTTGCCAGTCCAAATTGCAAGATATAATTTGAGGGGATCATGAAGAGGTCCTGTCAGCCTTGTGAGGTATTACACCCAGAAGTACTAGCTCTACTTTATTGTAAAGTTACATTAACAGAAACTTGCAAGTCTGAAAGTACATTTCTCCCCCCTTGCCTTTACAGTCCAAGAAACTAGGGAGGGTCCCTTCTGAGACATTTACCACGTCCCCATTCCTTCTGCAGGCTAAGCTACCTCTTATCCAACCAATGCCCTGGCTGTGGATCTTTCTCCTGTCTCCCACATACCATTACAGTTCCAGAATGGCCTCCTTAAACTAGATGAATAAGTTAACCAAATAATAAATGAGTAAGTGTAGGTGATGCACATGGGGCAAAAAACTTAAATTAAAAAACCTGTAAGATCAGAGCTGGGAAAAAGACACAGAGGTCATAAGATGTTAAATCAGCGTGCAACAGCTATGAAAAGATAAACTGTATTCTAAAGAGCATTAGGAATGAAAATAAAACTGGCAATGCTGTAGTTCTCTTATACAAATCTGTAGTAAGTTCATGTCCTGTGTGTAGTTCTAGCTGCCACATTTGAAAATTGATATAACAGAGCTGAAAAAAAAACAGAGAAGAGGGCAACTAGACATTTTCCTTGTGAGAAAATACTAGAATCTTTGGAATTTAGGCTGCAAAAAAGGGAACTCAAGAAGTTCCCTTTCATAATCTGGGTAGATAAAACCATGCATGGCATGGAGAAAGTAACAGTTTTTCTCCCTCTCTTAAAAACAGTATCCAGAGTCATCTAATGATTTGAAATGATTAGAAAGAGATTTAGAACAGACAAAAAACAGCACTTCTTCCCACAGAGCATAATTAACCTGTGGAAGTCATTTGGATGAGTTTAAAATTAGTGGAGCAGAGGTGCATAAAGGGCAATTAGTTTTGAGTTTCAGCACTGCCACAAGCCTGGGGCAGCATGGGTCCTGATTCAGTAGACTCAGTCTTATGTTAGGGTTTGATGTTAAAGAAACAGGAAGTATGTTTCAAGACTTCTAAAAATGAAAATGCTGTATTCCATAGATTAAAATAGGCAGAATAAGATCCTGGAGTGCACAATTCATTGCTTGCATCTTCCAAATCTGGCATATGGCAATTCAGTCATATGCAACCAAACTATAGAAGAATGAATGAAAGAAAGAATACCGTGCGGGAATGTATGTCAGCATTTTAACAGGGGCCTACTTTAGAGATTAGCAGCAGATTTCTTTACAGTATAATTTGAAAAGTGCTTTATTATCTTTAATTTATACATTGTTTTCTAGAGCAAAATGTATATAAATACTGCAATGTATAAATATTTTAAGCAAACTGAGTATGTCCTGATTTTTAACATACGTAATTGGGCATACAACTAAGGAGATCCCATTCCTTATGACATGAAAGTGTGGGGGGGGGGGAGGAGAGGGAGAGGGAGAGGGAGAGGGAAAGATACCTTCTGTAGATACAAGATCATTCCCTTTAGTATCCCATGGAAAGTCTTCCACCCCCGTTTTCCTCTTGGAGCTGTCAAGCAAAAGAGAAAGTCAGTAAAAGAGCCAGTTTGGTCTAGTGGTTAAGGCACCAGGCTAAAAACCAGGAGACGGTGAGTTCTAGTCCCACCTTAGGCATGAAAGCTGGCTGGGTGACTTTGGGCCAGTCTCTCTCTCTCAGCCCAACTTACCTCACAGGGTTGTTGTTGTGAGGAAGAAGGAGTATTAGGTATGTTCGCGTGCTGCCTTGAGTTATTTATAAAAATAATAAAGGTGGGATAAAAAAATCTGTCAGTCTGTCTGTCTTGGGAAACATGATAAATTCTGCTGATATATGAATAGCCCTGAATGGTCTTTTTTGGTGCCAGGGAAAAATATGTCTGCAGCCTGTCCACTCTTACTGTATTCTAGAGCTATGACACTTGCAAAAGATAGTTGCTTAAGACTTTGTACTTACTGTTTGGTGGAACAGATAGGAAAAAAAAAAAAAGAGAATATACCACATTCCAGATAAACTTGAAGGAAAAAAGGATTCTCATCTTGAACCTACTCCCTTTCCAGCCAGTAAATGGGAGAATGCTATCACTTAGTAGATGACATTTATCCCCTTCCTTTTCAGAACTCTTTTCCTCCTACTGCTCTCCCTGAAAATGTTGCACTGCCTTAAGTTGTTATCTGTATTCAATGCAAAACTAACACTCTGCAATAAAACTTTCCTCCATAGACTATGCCCATCCCACAAAAAGATTCTTTTCTGAGTTCTAGGTAACTTGAAAGTTGGAATCCTTAGTATGTTTAACAATCTCCATGGGAGATTGATATGATTTGAGAAGAAACCAGAGCATGCTATTGTGTTCTGGATTTTTATTCTTGTAAGCCATCTGGAGTCACCGTGAGTGAGTTGGGCGGCCATATAAATTGTATAAATAAATAAATAAAGTTGTTGTCCTATTCTTTTTATTGTTTTGATCAAATAATGTTATGTCCAGAATAATTTGGCAATTGTTGTTGTTTAGTCGTTAAGTCGTGTCCGACTCTTCGTGACCCCATGAACCATATTGCGCCAGGCCTTCCTGTCCTTCACTGCCTCCCTGAGTTTGCTCAGTTTCATGCTCATTGCTTCAGTGATG